ATGGATGGATGGATGGATGGATGGATGGATGGATGGATGGATGGATGGATGGATGGATGGATGGACATACAAAATTTTGGTATGGATTACTAACATTTACTGTTTTTGCTACTGCTTTCCTGCTACGCAAGCAGACACAAAGCATTGTGGGAAATCAGAACCATGGCCGAAACCAACAGTCCGCAAGGATGTATACCTTCCCAATAAGTGTGTTTATCTGGGAAGAGTGCTGTTGGATGGATCACGTGTGTTGTGATTCATTGACAGTCTTACCTTACGCTGTTCAAGATAATGATGACTGGTAGATAATTAGTTATTAGCAGTACTGCATTTTAATTTTAGAAAGGGCAAATCCGCTTATGAATTATAAAAATTAGTAAGTCCACTAAAGCGCARATGAAACATTTATGTCCACAATTAGCAGATTTGCACTTTAGTGGGCTTGTGCCCACCACTGAATACAAGGTTTCAAATGAAAATCTGGTCGATTATAAAGAGCAGCATTTTAGCTTCTGTAGTCTATGTAATTGAAAATCTTGGTCAATATTCAAGATGTTATGCAGCTCTGGTTTAACATAAGCCCTTCAGCTGACTGCTTTACCTTAGTGATACGAATCTGTGCTCTGTAAATAAGCAACTCGATGGCTCAAACCAAATTTGAATTAGTGTGTGAATAAATCTGGCAGCTTGATGGTGGTGGGGGCATTTAAACATACCACAGAGAAATTAAATGCTGTTGTATGTGCGCATCGACTTCTTGTGCTTTTCCCTCCACTGAATCTGTGTTGTGCTATGCTTGCAGTGTTTGAAGTGGCCTATCGAAAGTGCTTGTAAATGTGGCAGTRAAACCATTTCCCTCCTAAATTACTTCCAAGTAATAATTAGGAATTTATAGCGCTGCAATGTTATCACCATGCATTCCCAGCAGCTTGGTTTGTTTAAGGTGTAGCAAAGGCATTTTGACAAAAAAAAAAAAMTTTGGTTCATTGCTTCCTAAAAGTTTCCTCCTGGCTGGGATCAGAGATTGGGTTTAGGAAGAATAATGTGTGTGTTTTTGTGTTTGATTGTGACTTTGTGACTACTGATACACATGGAGTTCTTTTTATTATTTCTAACCCTGGTTGTTCCTTCACCAATAAACACTAACAATGATGATTAGTCTTAATAGCTTTTGTGCGCCATCAGTCTCTTTTATTAATGTCTGTGCATGCAAATGTGATTGTCTGTCTGTGTGTGTGTGTGTGTATGTTGTGTGTGTGTGTGTGTGTGTGTGTGTGTGTGTGTGTGTGTGTGTGTGTGTGTGTGTGTG